CCCGAAAGCACTGACAAGGAGTCAGCGCTTTCTAATTCCGAAATCCTTAATGATCTTCCCAAATACTTTCAGGATAATCATAGTGCACCTCTCGTCAAGATCTTCAGAGAACATCAAGAGTTGTTCAGAGATGATCCCCAAGAGTGTAATGTTACCCAGCACGACATCCAACTGCTCCCCGACACCCGGCCGATTCGTCAACCCTTCTACCGAATCAGCCCGAGCAAGAAGGAAGTCATGCGTGCTGAGGTGCAATACCTCTTGGATCATGGACTGGCTACACCTTGTGAGTCCCCCTGGGCCTCACCCTGTATCTTGGTGCCCAAACCCCAAGGTAAGGTGCGGTTGTGCACCGACTATCGTAAACTGAACTCTGTCACTGTCAAGGATGCTTACCCCTTGCCAAGGATAGATGACATCCTTGATGCCATTGGTAGTGCCCAGTACTTGTCCCAAGTGGACTTGCTTAAGGGGTACTATCAAGTGTGTCTAACGGAGCGCGCTAAAGAGATATCTGCCTTCATCACTCCTTTTGGACTTTTCAGATATGAACGCCTTCCTTTCGGACTATGTAATGCCCCGGCCACCTTTCAAAGAGCTGTCAACCGTGTCATCCAGGGCTTGGATAACACATACGCCTACCTGGACGATATCGTCGTAGCCTCCAACTCCTGGAGTGAACATCTGCTCCAGCTGCGACGTCTGTTCTCCAAGCTCCTGACAGCCGGCCTCACCATCAACCTGGGCAAGTCCACTTTCGCGAAAGGTAAAGTGCGTTATCTGGGTCATGTTATTGGGAGTGGCAGCATAGCTCCGTTAGACTCACACACTCAAGCCATCCTACAGTATCCACAGCCTACCACCAGGAAGCAGCTCCTGCGCTTCCTTGGTCTTGCCTCTTACTACCGTAGGTTTGTGAGGAATTTCAGTACAGTCGCCACACCTCTAATTCTATTAACCAGTCCCAAGCAACGGTATAATTGGACCATGCAGCAAACCGTTGCTTTCGAACAACTCAAATTCCTCCTCTGTTCTAACCCCATTCTCGCCTCTCCAGATATCACCAAGCCTTTCGTCCTTCATGTCGACGCCAGTGGTACCGGCGTTGGTGGTGTCTTGATGCAACTACGAGGCGAGGAGGTTCTACCTGTCAGCTACTACAGCTACAAACTGAAACCACACCAGAGGAACTACAGCACTATTGAAAAGGAGCTACTATCCATCGTCCTGAACCTCCAACACTTCGCTCCGTACCTACAAGGCGCCAGGTCTACCACCATCTTCTCAGACCACAACCCTCTCCGCTTCCTACATCAAGCCCAATTCACCAACCAGCGTCTTCTACGATGGGCTCTGTATTTACAAGACTTCAACCTGGAGATCCGCTATATCAAGGGTTCTGACAACACCATAGCCGATGCCCTCTCCAGAGTTTATGAAGTAGAAGCGACTCCATCCATTACTCCACCACATAACGACGTACTTCTTCCAGAACCGCAGGCTTCGGGGGAGAGTTGTGACGATAATCTCCTTCAAGAGATTGAGCCTGCTCTTCCCTCCAAAATTACGTCTTCACAATTATATAAAAAGACTATGGAAGAAATGTCCAACAACGACAAAAACACCAGCACCAGCAAGGCTTGCCAGGGTGAGCAGAAACGTATGCAACCAGCCACCTGTTCGAACTCCAACCACCAAACTACCCGTTGATCGCTACGGCTCCGCTGATTGGTCGCCGGTCTGGCTGCACCTGTACTCGCCCCCAATACTACCTGATGTCTGGGGTCGCCCCAACATCAGTCCTCAGAATGTTCCGTGCTTTCGTAGCCAGCACTCCTCCCAGCTAGACTCTAGAGTGTACTGAGAGAGGTGGTGGCTTTAAGCCAATATTCCAGCACCTCCCACTTAACTTTTGTGTTGCACTTCTTGTTATTTTGCCTTAACGTAACTTTTCATTTTGTCATTTAAGTATTCTTATTATTTTGATTCATTGATTTTATTATAAGAATTTGTTTGTGCATTATTTTCATGTTTGATTTATTTAACGTAATTAAAATTTCATTGTTAAAGTTTACTTGTGTTTTGTGTGTCTTCTCCTTACCTTACCACAGACGAAGTTCCAGTTTTTTCTATTTTTTTTTATAACTATGTGACGAGGCCATACCCCTAGCCTTAAACAGCCGAACACCAACGCGTTACCGTCACACCTATATACTGGGTTTTTTGGAGCTTACAGTCCCCAAGTGGGCATTTGAAGGCATAGACGACGTTAGTCTCTTTTAAAGCGTTCTGTTTTGTGTCTGGAGAGTTTCTCATGAGTAGGCTGGCCGTTTTTCTGGTTTTATAGTAAATCGTCAGTTGTATCCTCTGATTTTTGTCTGTAGGGATAACGTTTCTATTAACAATATCTTTCAGGACCCTTTCCTCCGTTTTATGAGCTGTGGAAAAGAAGTTCCTGTAAAATAGTCTAATAGGGGGTATAGGTGTTGTGTTAGTTGTCTCTTCGGAGGTTGCATATATATATATACATATATATATATATATATATATATATGTATATATATATATATATATATATATATATATATATATATATATATATATATATATATATATATATATATATATATATATATATATATATATATATATATATATATATATCGACGTACAACAAAGTTAGAAAGTAGAAATTTGAACTATTGAGTTGTACAAACCGGAAAATTATATTTTTACTTGTGTTGCTTTTACAAACTAACCTCACCTAACCTTCCTAGACCTAACACACAATATCTAAGGCCTAACATAGTACATATATGTGCTATACTAGGCCTACGAATATTTAAGTTTGTTTTTTAGCTTCATTTATTTTAAAAGAATTCATTACTGGTCAGTATACTACTATCTAAGAGGTAATTATGTACGAATTCGTGACTATTGACGACAGTCACAATAGGTACTATCTTAACAGCAGGATGGGTTGCATATAGTGCTATGCAATGTTATAAAAAGAAATGCAATTCGTGTTTAGTTTCTATTGCTTGTCTCTGCCTAGCCTCCAGAGGAGGTTGTGATGAGTCTTCTGTTGGTGGGAAGACCGTGGGTATTGAACTTTGTCTGGTAGGGGTGACTGGCTGACTGAGGTGACTGGGTGACTGGCTGACTGAGGTGACTGGCAGGCTAAGGGTATAAGAAAGGGACCGTATGTTGTCTGCTTCCACCACGTCACTGTCTAATGGCATGGACACTCAGTTACCACCCATTAGAGCTTGTGGAACCAGACATTAGGAGTACGTTGACCAGACCACACACTAGAAGATGAAGGGACGACGACGTTTCGGTCCGTCCTGGACCATTCTCAAGTCGATTGTGGTCCAGGAGAATGGTCCAGGACGGGACCGAAACGTCGTCGTCCCTTCACTTTCTAGTGTGTGGTCTGGTCAACATACTTCAGCCACGTTACTGTGACTCATCGCCTGCAGACATTAGGACTTATACCCACCGTGCCCAAGTCCAAAGTGTATAGCAAAGATAACTGTGTAATACATTCCAGGAAGTATACTTACATGTTGTGAATAAGTGAAGTTTGATATACTACACTGTTAACTCAAGTCCAGGTTTTGAGGTCTTAATAATATCTCTTTTTAAATCCTGTATCAATAGTGTTTGCAAATTACAACCAAGTTCCCGATATATTTTGAACCTGTAAGTTTAATGGCTACAATACTTATATGCTTTCATAAGGTATGTTGTTGTTGTTTAAGATTCGCAACCTAGAACAAAAAAGTTCCAAGTAGCACGGGCTATGGTGAGCCCGTAGATCATAAGGTATTGTTGGGAAAAGCCTTCGCCTACTGTAAGGGAGGGTTGGCCCTCTGGCTTATTGTCTGAAATTTAACCTTTCTCTTGGAACCTTCAGGAATATTACTTGAGTCTTATTCACCTCTGAGGAGTCTTGCTAGTGTCCTTAGCGAGCATTATATTTACTTTTCCTTGCTTTATTAAGTAAAGGCGAGTAGAGAGAGGCTCATGCATTACTGGGGTGACTGGTTGGCTGGGGGGTGACTGGTTGGCTGGGGGGTGACTGGTTGGCTGGGGGTGACTGGTTGGCTCGGGGGTGACTGGTTGGCTGGAGGTGACTGGTTGGCTGGAGGTGACTGGTTGGCTGGGGGTGACTGGTTGGCTGGGGGTGACTGGTTGGCTGGGGGTGACTGGTTGGCTGGGGGTGACTGGTTGGCTGGGGGGTGACTGGTTGGCTGGGGGGTGACTGGTTGGCTGGGGTGACTGGTTGGCTGGGGGGTGACTGGTTGGCTGGGGGTGACTGGTTGGCTGGGGGGTGACTGGCTGGCTGGGGTGACTGGTTGGCTGGGGGGTGACTGGCTGGCTGGGGTGACTGGTTGGCTGGGGGTGACTGGCTGGCTGGGGGGTGACTGGCTGGCTGGCGGTGACTGGCTGGCTGGGGGTGACTGGCTGGCTGGGGGGTGACTGGCTGATTTTATATTTATCTGTTAGTTTGAGCACACATTTACGAGCTATTAGTAGTAGATAAAGATACTAGTAACCCCCCCCCAACCTCTCACCGCCTCCACCCCCCTCTCACCCCTCCCACCCCCTATCACCCCTCCCACCCCCCTTCCACCTTCCAGATGCCCTCTTTCATCTCCAGATAATTTCCCCATTCCATCCAAGTGAAGTCTCCCTTTGAACCTCACCTAGTCCCTCCCCCCTCCCACATCCACCTCTCCCATCTCTGTGTCAGCCGCCACTGTTTCCCATCAATGGGTAACAAGGGATGGGAACTACCCCCCATCCCACTGAGACAGTTCAACCCCTGAGTGACCAACAGCCACTGCGAGTGGCTATGCGCTTTCTGGTACAATCTCACTAGGTGGCGTGTTTGGAGGGAGGGTGTTACGGGATCACCATAGCCCGTGCTACTTGGAACTTGTTCCGAGTAGCTGAATCTATAACAGTCTTAACGTGTCCACACGACCTTGCAGACCCGTGCGAGGAGGTGTCGTGCACGGAACGACAGACGTGCCAGCTGGACCGCGAACGACGACCCAGCTGTCGCTGTAACGACGTCTGCGCCAAGGACTACGACCCCATCTGCGCGTCGGACGGCAAGACCTATTCGTAAGTAGCCGGAGCTGCTTGTATTGTGTGTTAGAATGTGTATTAGAATGTGTTAGTGTGAGTTAGAGACGGTGTTAGTGTGTTAGAATGTGTTACGTTGTGTTAGCGGCGGTATTAGTGTGTGTTAGACTGTGTTAATGTGTTAGAATGGGTTATAGTGTATTAGAGTTTGTTAGGATGTGGTAGAGTGTGTTAAAATGTGTTATCGTGTGTTAGAATACGTTAGTGTGTGTTAGTGGTGGTCAGAGTACGGTAACAAAGAAGCGTTAGGTGTTCCAACATAATGTTGTGTTGTGGGGTGAGGTATGTTGTGAATGTTTAGTATACTAAGGAACCAGTAGGTATACTAAGAAATATTCAGGTATACTAAGGAATGTTTAGGTATTCTAAGGAATGTTTATATATACTAAGAAATGTTTAGGTATACAAAGGAATGTTTAGGTATACTAAGAAATGTTTAGGTATACAAAGGAATGTTTAGGTATACTAAGAAATGTTTAGGTATACTAAGAAATGTTTAGGTATTCTAAGGAATGTTAGTGGTTATCTTCTGTCATGATATAATGGTGAAATACAAACACTAATTTCACAGACGTATTATCTATACTCTAGGTACTCTAGATAACAAGACTCTAGGTACTCTAGATAACAAGACTCTAGGTACTCTATATTAAATGTTACAGAATTTCTGTTCAATGGCCACTTCAATGTCAAAATTAACGTGCAATTTGGTCTAATCGGTGTAATTAGGTCGTATTGCAATGAGGTGGAGGCTCATATTCATTGACATACAGAACAGAGGATCATACACAAAATAATAGGTCTAAATTATAGAGTTGAACATTTATATTATGAACATGAGGTAATGTTCTACTGCTTGAAACGAGTCTGGTTTCAAAACCTGTCCCAGGGTATGTTGAGATGTGGGTTTTCTATCTGCATGAACATCTTGTGACGTGTTCTCTACCTGCATGGACTTGTTTTTACGTGTTCTTTACCTGCATGAACGTGTTCTGACGTGTTTTCTAGCTGCATGAACATATTGTGACGTGTTCTGTACCTGTATGAACATGTTTTGACGTGTTCTGTACCTGCATGAACATGTCTTGACGTGTTTTTTAGCTGTATGAACATGTTGTGACGTGTTCTGTACCTGTATGAACATGTTTTGACGTGTTCTGTACCTGTGTGAACATGTTTTGACGTGTTCTGTACCTGTATGAACATGTTTTGACGTGTTCTGTACCTGTATGAACATGTTTTGACGTGTTCTGTACCTGTATGAACATGTTTTGACGTGTTCTGTACCTGTATGAACATGTTTTGACGTGTTCTGTACCTGCATGAACATGTTTTGACGTTCTGTACCTGCATGAACATGTTTTGACGTGTTCTGTACCTGTATGAACATGTTTTGACGTGTTCTGTACCTGTATGAACATGTTTTGACGTGTTCTGTACCTGCATGAACATGTTTTGACGTGTTTTCTAGTTGTATGAACATATTTTGACGTGTTCTGTACCTGTATGAACATGTTTTGACGTGTTCTGTACCTGTATGAACATGTTTTGACGTGTTATGTACCTGTATGAACATGTTTTGACATGTTTTCTACCTGCAGGAACGAGTGTGTAATGAAGGTGGAGGCATGCAAGGCCAGGAAGTCCCTCTCAATCATCTACCGCGGCGCCTGCGATGTGGGTAAGTGGCTGTTGTTGTTCCTTAAGGTGTTGCATGGTCATACTGTTCCTTAGTGTTCCTGCTGGGCGGAGGATACATCGCTCCAGGTGTGTGGGTGTGAGACCAGGTGTGTGTGGGAGCAGCGAACATACACCAGACTGTGGGTGGTGCAGGGGTTGTGAGGGAGGGGTTGGAGGGGGGAATTAGAGGGGGGAGAGCACTTGTGAGGTGGGAGGGGAAGGGGGAGGAAATATGTTGATTTATTGCCTAAGCTCCGGGATGCATCAGGGAACTTCGCTGGCCTCAGTAAAGTTGTGATTTATGTGACTAGAGGAAGATCACACTGAGCCACCGGCACCCAAATCATTCTCTCTCTCTCTCTCTCTCTCTCTCTCTCTCTCTCTCTCTCTCTCTCTCTCTCTCTCTCTCTCTCTCTCTCTCTGTCTCTGTCTCTCTGTCTCTCTGTCTCTCTGTCTCTCTGTCTCTCTGTCTCTCTCTCTCTCTCTCTCTCTCTCTCTCTCTCTCTCTCTCTCTCTCTCTCTCTCTCTCTCTCTCTCTCTCTCTCTCTGTCTCTGTCTCTCTGTCTCTGTCTCTGTCTCTCTCTCTCTCTCTCTCTCTCTCTGTCGTCTCTGTCTCTGTCTCTGTCTCTCTCTCTCTCTCTCTCTCTCTCTCTCTCTCTCTCTCTCTCTCTCTCTCTCTCTCTCTCTCTCTCTCTCTCTTCTCTCTCTCTCTCTCTCTCTCTCTCTCTCTCTCTCTCTCTCTCTCTCTCTCTCTCTCTCTCTCTCTCTCTCTCTCTCTCTCTCTCTCTCTCTCTCTCTCTCTCTCTCTCTCTCTCTCTCTCTCTCTCTCTCTCTCTCTCTCTCTCTCTCTCTCTCTCTCTCTCTCTCTCTCTCTCTCTCTCTCTCTCTCTCTCTCTCTCTCTCTCTCTCTCTCTCTCTCTCTCTCTCTCTCTCTCTCTCTCTCTCTCTCTCTCTCTCTCTCTCTCTCTCTCTCTCTCTTCTCTCTCTCTCTCTCTCTCTCTCTCTCTCTCTGTCTCTCTCTCTTTCTCTCTTCTCTCTTTCTCTCTCTCTCTCTCTCTCTCTCTCTCTCTCTCTCTCTCTCTCTCTCTCTCTCTCTCTCTCTTCTCTCTCTCTCTCTCTCTCTCTTCTCTTTCTCTCTCTCTCTCTCTCTCTCTCTCTCTCTCTCTCTCTCTCTCTCTTCTGATAGGCCGTGACACTATCTGACCAACCAAACCGGTATAATTCAGCCCAGGTCAAAAATAAAGACTAAAATAGACTTTCCGCGTATATACACAGCGAGATTCGGGGTCTATACGGTGCACTTGGGGTGGACGGTAGAGGGACGGTCTTGCTTCCTGCAGGTCGCCGTTCAATCCCCGGCCGTCCAATCAAGTGGTTGGGCACCATTCCTTCTCACCCCCCCCCGGTCCCATCCCAAATCCTTCCCCCTTGACCCCCTTGACCCCCTTGACCCCTTCCCAAGTGGTATATAGTCGTAATAGCTTGGCACTTTCCTCTCTGCTAATTCCATTTCATTCTTGTTTACTGATTTTATGATGTGTGTGGAGTTGCAGGATTGAACCCGTGCGACGGGTTGTCGTGCCTGCCGGGGGAGGAGTGCAAGATTGACGTGTTCGGCATCGCCCGCTGCGAGTGTCCTCCGGCCTGTGAGCCCGTCGTACGACCCGTCTGCGGCTCCGACCGCTCGACGTACGACAATTTGTGTGAGCTTCAGCGCTCCGTCTGCGTGAAGCAGACCGATATTGTCGTCAGCTACGTCGGCGTCTGCGGTGAGGAAAACCCCCTTTTATATTTTTATTTAATTTTATATTAATTAAACCTATTTGATTTACTTTGAAATAGGGAGCGTGTTTAGTTTAAATATTTACAAAGCTTCCAATGGAATCATTACACACAAATTTTAAGATAAATTAACTCCTTTTTCCTTAAAAAAACAAACAAATTATAAATATACGTTTATTGAATTTTCAGGGCTGATTTTTTGTTGTTGTAATGAATAATGTGATAGATTGTGGATAATGACGAGAGTTAGGTGTTGTAAATTGTTGACCAGACCACACACTAGAAGGTGAAGGGACGACGACGTCCGCAGGGGTTGTAAAGTTATCATGTGGTGAAGCTATAGGGTAATGCTTTTGTTCCTCCTGCCTCGCCTGCTGCAGGAGAGGAGGGCCCCTGCGCCGGACACGTGTGTGGGCACCGGGGCGTGTGTGTGGAGCGGCAGGGGCGCCCCGTGTGCGAATGCCCGCAGTGTCCGGCGCACCTCGACCCCGTCTGCGGCACTGACGGCATCTCCTACGACAACGAGTGCCTCCTGCGGGCGGAGTCCTGTAGGATCCACCGGGACATCCCCGTCAGATACAGAGGACGCTGCAGTGAGTATCCCAGCGACGTTCAAGGGGGTATATGCCCGGTGGTACGCCTGGGAAAAGGATTTCTCCTGTGGGTTATATTTTGATGACAGGGGAGTGACCAGGGGCTTAAAGCTAGTCATCAACTCAACACACATGTTGAATTGATGACTCTTACCTCATCATGAGAGAAGTAGTCTCTCTCTCTCTCTCTCTCTCTCTCTCTCTCTCTCTCTCTCTCTCTCTCTCTCTCTCTCTCTCTCTCTCTCTCTCTCTCAACATTCATACATAATTCATTTAACCTTGCATTACTGCTAGTTAAAATGTTTTGAACAGAGGCAAGTAGGACAGACAAGTGAAGGTCAGAGGTCACAGCCCTGCAAACTTAACATGTTATTACGTTGAGAAAATAACCAACTCCTCGGGTGTTTAATTGGGTTTTCTGAAACCTTAAGTTCTGTCATTAAGAAAATGAATCATGCCATTGAGATTAATGGCGATTGGGTGTTCATTTAAGTTGGCAATAGACGTTAAGGGTCAACATTAAAGGGGATATAATGACATTGTCACATATTTAACTTCGTCTGGGATTCATTATAAATGGTTCTGATGTTGATAATGAGCTGAATTATAAGAGCTAAGAGCTCTTGTTCTCTTGTTCTCTAAGAGCTAAGAGCTGCTGCCCTACATCAGGTCATCCGAAGCTTCACTCTGCAAACTGTGAATTTTTAATCCTAACTTTACAGTACTCGAGTATCAATAATTACCTCTCGTTACTTGCCTATCTGTATTTGCCAATCAGTACTGGCCAATCAGTATTTGCCAATCAGTTCTTATTTATACGGTGATCAAGGAATACTGTCGTTTGTTGAACTTGTTATCTAAGACTTTTTGTCAGCAAAAAAGCTAGCGCTCGCTCGCTCTCTCTCTCTCTCTCTCTCTCTCTCTCTCTCTCTCTCTCTCTCTCTCTCTCTCTCTCTCTCTCTCTCTCTCTCTCTCTCTCTCTCTCTTTTGTATACCTTTCGTCTATCAACCTACTTCTCCTTCTCCTCCTCCTCCTCCTCCTCATAATCTTAAGACTCCAGCACTAGACACACAAACACGACTCTATTAATTATCTATTAATTAAGCATCATCTATTAATTAACTATTTACATTATCATGCTTATTTTAACATTTTCCTGATAGTTTCTGGCATTACCATGGTAATTACTATGACTATAATAACGGTAATTATTATTAACATTTAATCACGCAGTTTTTTTAAATTACTTTGTATAAAGAAGTAATTTAAATTTGTTTTTAAAATGTCGCTTCAGAGTGTATTACATTTATTCTGATTTTAATTTCTAAAGTGTTATTTTAATCAATTACATTTAACATATTTTTTCCCTAGTCTGTCTGACGTAAATCATTCTAATACTATACAATTTTTTTATCTTAAAAATTTTATTTTCAATCCTAATTTTCCTAATTTTTCAGTTAAAAATTGGGTTAATATGTCATAAAGTCTAATTAAAAGTTTTGCTAAGACTTCATAGATTGATAATATTTTTTTTGTTCAAATTCGTAATTAGTTAGGATAAGTGACGTGAATATTTTTGTATTTAAATGTTTTAATTTATTAATTTGCAGTTATCTCAGAGGAAAGCATCGTTCTTACAGGTAATGATTTGATTAATTAACCGGTGCACACCCCCCTCTCTTACACCTGATCTCCACACCTGGTCCCCCCCACACCTGTTGCTAGTATCTTCACACCTGTTGCTAGTATCTCCACACCTGTTGCTAGTATCTCCACACCTGTTACTAGCACCCTACACCTGTTGCTAGTATCGTCACACCAGTTACTAGCACTCTACACCTGTTGCTAGTATCTTCACATCAGTTACTAGCACCCTATACCTGTTGCTAGTATCTCCACACCTGTTACTAGCACCTCACACCTGTTGCTAGTATCTCCACACCTGTTGCTAGTATCTTCACGCCAGTTACTAGCACGCTACACCTGTTGCTAATATCTTCACATCAGTTACTAGCACGCTATACCTGTTGCTAGTATCTCCACACCTGTTACTAGCACCTTACACCTGTTGCTAGTATCTCCACACCTGTTGCTAGTATCGCCACACCTGTTGCTAGTATCGCCACACCTGTTGCTAGTATCTCCACACCTGTTGCTAGCACCTCACACCTATTACTAGCACCCCACACATGTTGCTAGTATCTCTACACCTGTTGCTAGTATCTCCACAGCTGTTGCTAGTATCTCCACACCTGTTGCTAGTATCTCCACAGCTGTTGCTAGTATCTCCACTTGTTGCTAGCACCCCACACCTATTACTAGCACCTCACACCTATTGCTAGTATCTTCACACCCGTTACTAGCACCCCACACCTGTTGCTAGTGTCTTGACAACTGTTGCTAGCCCCCCACGATTGGTAAGAGTACTCCCACACACCTGACCTCCACCACCCCTTCCCCCCCCTACCACACACACACACACACACACACATACCTGGTCTAAGATTCAATACGCATTTAAGAATCCACTTGCGGAACCTGTACATCTTTTGTTAATCTTCGGCGACTTCGTTTAGAAAAATTATTAAACCGTCTACGAGAATCAAAACTTTCCAGTCAAATGTTATTAGCCTCCTGGTGGCTCATAAGCGTTATGTATGTAAACAAAACCGCCAAAGGCTGAGGAAAGGTGTAGAGGTTTGTAAATACACGAGTAAATGCTTGTTGACTTCTAGCCATGTCTCCCAACACGAAGCTAAGACGCCCCTACGAAGCGTTTTCTCTAAACATTTCCCGGCGCCATTTTCTCTCGGGTTGGGGGGGAAGCGACGAGGCAGCGCCGCAGTAGGAAGAGATGTTAATAAAAGTTTTATTTTCTGTATCGAGTCAAAAGTTTGGCGAGAGATTTGTAGCTGGATATTCTTTGATTTTGTTTCTGCGAGTTGGTAACAAAAAAGTTGGCCTCTGCTAGAGTTATTTTGACTCTGGAAACTTTATCCTGTAAAACGCATGGCGTTTGTTTTATTTTAGAAAACGGACTGAAGGGTATCTCAAACATTTTCAGAATCCTCATGAGATTTATAACAATTTGTACATTTCATTGCAGTTCTCACACATTAAGACCTATGTTCTTTGCGGTGCACCTATGATCTTTTAAAGGAGAAACTCACTTACGAGGTGTTGGTTTGTGACAAAGAAATATGTAATATACGAAATGTTTTCATTCCTGTCTCTGTCCGGGTCTGCGCCCCCCTGTCCTCCTCGCTTTATACACGGTGTTGGCGAACCCCCCTCAGACTGTGCCTCTTCACCCACACACATCACCTTACCTAGGTTTTTCCTCTCCACTTCTGACATGTTTCCTTCCTTTTCTTCCCCTCTTCCCTCGCCTCCCCTTCCCCGCCCCCCCCCCCCTCTCTCACACCTCTCCCTCCCGTCTCTCACACCTCTCCCTCCCGTCTCTCACACCTCTCCGTCTTCCTCCACTCAGCGGGATGTGAGAACAAGCAATGTGACTTCTACGGTGTGTGTGAAGCTGAGGAGAGCGGGGCGGGGCGCTGCGTGTGTCCTGAAGGATGTGTCAAGGTAAGTGGCCATACCTCTGGCAAGTTCAGACATTCCTGTCATGTGTCAAGACAACTTAATTCTGACTGTCGCTTGTCCAAAGAATTTGATGGAGAAATTGATGCAATGGTGAGGGGGGAAGGGAACCATCAGGGGGACAGTGCCAAGCCATTGGGCCTATATAACACACATGGAACAGTTGACGGGTGTGCTAACTGTCTGTCTCTCTCCTGCTGGGGTACAGGTAGAGAGCAAGGTGTGTGGGACGGACGGCATCACCTACCTCAACGAGTGTCTCCTGAAGGTCGCAGCTTGTCGCAAGCAGCAGTTTATCATCGTGGCTTCCAGAGGAGACTGTGGTGAGTCTTCCAGGAGTTTTCTTCCTCTTCCAGGGGGTCTCCTTCATCTTCCAGGGTCCACCAGGCTGTTGCTTGGAGCGGCCCACATATCCACTACAGCCTATTCTAAAGCACTTCTTGCAAGAACTTATCTAAGTGCCTCTTGAAGACATCCACCTTCGTTCCGGGAATAATTCTAATGCTTGCTGGGAGGGTGTTGAACAGCTGTGGTCCTCTGGTGTTCACACATACTGTTACTCACCTGTTCCTCCCAGAGTCTTTTATTCATCTGCTCCTCCTAGAGTCTGTTACTCAGCTGTTCCTCCAAGAGTCTGTTACTCTGCTGCTTCTAGACATGTCTGCCAACTCCAGTTTGCATTCGAACCTTTCCACATGTCGCGTGAGAATTTGATCATTACTTTTATTGAATATATATTTTGATAGATCGTCAGTGTTTTGATGTATAAATAATATTATTAGTTAAGTAATGTTAAATGATTTAAATTTTGATCAATGTTAATTCATTATTCAGTGACTTATTTTGACAAATATTAACTAGTTAAGATTTGTGAATGCTAGTTTTCTTTAAATGGATGTGAAGAAACTTTTATTTTTTCACCTAGTAACTGTAGCTCCAATTTTAACTGGTATATTTTGATTCTTATTTTGCCATTTAGGGAGAAAATATATATCAGAGGTTTTATGGTCATGTGGTACAGAACTTCGTCTGCAGGTCTGTTCCGCGACAATTCTGTGTCAATAATTCGCGTGTATGTCAACAGATCTGTGTCAATAATTCGCGTGTATGTCAACAGATCTGTGTCAAGGATTTACGTGTATGTTAACAGATCTGTGTCAAGAATTTACGTGTATGTTAACAATTCTGTGTCAATAATTCGCGTGTATGTCAACAGATCTGTGTCAGCATGTGGTGTGCAAGTATGGCGGGCGTTGCGAGGCTGGACGCTGCGTCTGCCCGAGAGACTGTCCCGCCACGCGGGAGCCCGTCTGCGCCTCCAACGGCCACACCTTCGTCAACGAATGCGAGATGCAGAAGGCCGCCTGTGGCCTGGAGGACGGCCTCAGGGTCACCTTCGTCGGGGAGTGTTCCGAGGCCCGCACTTCCGGCGTCAGTAAGTACAAATGAGGGAGAGGGCAGAGTGCAAGCTGTTGTTCGCTGCTGTAGGCAGGACAGAGTGCAAGCGAACATGCTGTAGGCAGGGCAGAGTGGCTATTGTCGCTGGTGTAGGCAGGGCAGAGTGGCTATTGTCGCTGGTGTAGGCAGGGCAGAGTGGCTATTGTCGCTGGTGTAGGCAGGGCAGAGTGGCTATTGTCGCTGGTGTAGGCAGGGCAGAGTGGCTATTGTCGCTGGTGTAGGCAGGGCAGAGTGGCTATTGTCGCTGGTGTAGGCAGGGCAGAGTGGCTATTGTCGCTGGTGTAGGCAGGGCAGAGTGGCTATTGTCGCTGGTGTAGGCAGGGCAGAGTGGCTATTGTCGCTGGTGTAGGCAGGGCAGAGTGGCTATTGTCGCTGGTGCAGGCAGGGTAGTGCTCATGGGAGGTTTTAAAGTCCTGGAGCAGACGTTGAAGATGGTGCTTGAAGATTCATGGTTCGCCGATAGAGCTCTGGTGACAGCAGTAAATGTCAATGGAGTAATGTTTACTGTTCATGTAGGAGAGAGAGAGAGAGAGAGAGAGAGAGAGAGAGAGAGAGAGAGAGAGAGAGAGAGAGAGAGAGAGAGAGAGAGAGAGAGAGAGAGAGAGAGAGAGAGAGAGAGAGCGAGAGAGCGAGCGAGAGAGTTAAAGACTGTGTGAGGCATAAAATCGGGTTCATAAATTGCGGAAAATGCCATCTTGGATGAATCAGAAGGGAAGGCATACGGGTTGAGGAAATGGAATTGGGGATCCTGGAGGTGTAGGAGAGGTTGAGGTACTACACTGATGACGCAGTGATGGAGATTGGTGGTGTTGGGGGGATGGTTGGGGGTTCGTGGAGGTGTGGCCAGGGTGGGGTTGGCAGACCCCGGAAGGGAACATAAAAAGAGGGGGACAAGAAATAGGTTTAGGGGGGCTCTGTAGTTATAGAGACGGAAGTTAGGGGAAAAGATGGGGGTTCCCAAACGTATATGTTTGAATAGGTCAACCCATCCTCCTGTTTAGATAGTCCTTTTTGTACAAAGTATTTTGTACTATGTGGACTATTGTACATATATTGACGAAATGGACAATTAAATACTAATACTTGGTACTCTTCACTTTATAGAGTCCGAAAAATAAAGCTAGAAACCAAACTTAAATATTCCTAGGCCTAGTATAGCACATATATGTACTATATTAGGCATCAGATAGCGTATATTAGGCCTAGGAAGGTTGGGTTAGGGTTTCTTTGCAACATCAATACATAAAACTTTTCCAGTTTGTCCAAATTCAATAGATTTCTACCTTCTAATTGCCTTTTGCGTCACTGTATGTACGAAGGCCCACATCGTTAGTATAGGTTCTACTTAAACACGGGGGTCTTTGAGCTGGAGAAAAAGGAATTCTTTTGGGAGGTTCCGAAAAATGCGTACAGTGATGGTGGGTTTGATTATTTTTAACTCCTCTGGGAGTGCATTTAGCACTCGATGTTGAAGAGTCCCGGACAGGTGTTGAATAGGGATGATTGCTGTCAATAAGTGAAGCAATCAGCCTCCTTCGCTTCACAGAGGACGCTGACTGCTCTCAATAAGTCTTTGAGTGTTCCATATTTTAACATGCTACTTGTTCGTGCTCCTTCAGTGTGTGTATAATGTTTTTGGGTGTCATCACTGCCTCGCCTGATCTGTCCTCTAAATCCTATTAATAAACAGTTTTCCTAAGAGAATTCCATTTATGTGTCTGCTGTGTGTAAGCTGAGCTATCTGTGTGTATGTGTGTGTGTGAACGGGATGCAACTTGAACTGTGTGTAAACTGTGTGTAAACTGTGTGTAAACTGTGCAGACTGTGAGCTGTGACTGGAGCATTAGGCCAGGTAGTTGACGTAGCACTACACAGAGTAAAAGAGTATGTGGCACCCCACACTATAGATGTGGCTGACCTTGCCTGTGTGGCAGCGACGCACCTGCTACAGCTGTAGCCGCTGCTACTACTACTGTAGCTGCGGCTACTACCGTAGCAGTCGCTGTTGTTGCTGATGTGCTGTTGCTGCTGCTGCTGCTGCTGCTGCTGCTAGTGCTGCTGTTGCTGCGCCTGCTCACCTGCTAGTGTCCATGGCTGCTGTCACTACCTGCGCCTCCCACCTAACACTACACCTGCACAGTTCCCACCTTGTCCCCAGTGTTCTAACTTGTGTGTGTGTGTGTACGTCTGCCACGTAAGTGTACGTATGTGTGTGTGTACTAACGGGTAGTGGCTGTGACTAACGTACATACTCGTGGGGGTGGCGCCTGCGCAGAGGACGACCCCAGCCTTGTGAGCCCTAGGGACTCCTCCCCGCCCCCTGTGGTAGTGATGGTGGGCCCGCCCGGCCGTGCCTTCCCCCTTGGCGGCCAGCACGACGGCGACGTGTGCACGGGGATGACGTGCGAGTACGGCTCGACGTGCACGGTGCTGGGGGACGGTCTACCTCGCTGCTCGTGTCGCCTCGACTGCTCCAATGTCCCCCAGAGTCCCGTCTGCGGCTCCGATCTCAAGATGTATTCCAGCGAATGTCTTATGATTAGAGAAGGCTGTCAGCGGCAGGTGGAGCTGAGACTCAGGCCCCTTGAGCTCTGTGAAGGTACCCACCCCCCCCTCAATCACACTCCCCCCCTTCAATCACCACCCCCCCCCCTTTCAATCACACCACACAACCCCCTCCCCCCTCGCCACATCATCCACACTGCTGCCACAACATCACCCGCATGTCCAAAAGCGTCTCCTTCGTGCATGTTGTAGTGTGGTATATGTTGTCCCCTTGCGCATGTTTGTAACGTGTCTATGTGCATGTTGTGACGTCATATAGAGGATGTATGTGCTTCGTGAGGAGTGACCTCTGACCTCTCAGCGCACGCCGAGTGACCTGGGAGTGACAGGTCATTTTCAGGGACATTTTAATTACCGATTGTTTTATGTATTTTGGAAAATATTACAAAACCAGAAATCCAACCCAATCGTGTCTCTTGGCTATGCGAAGGTTTATATTTGACAATATTTGGCTCTTCCTCGTTATTCAGGTTGATGTATTCATTTAGGTCATTGATCACAAGTTGTTATACATTACCCCCCCCCTCTCTCTCTCTCTCTCTCTCTCTCTCTCTCTCTCTCTCTCTCTCTCTCTCTCTCTCTCTCTCTCTCTCTCTCTCTCTCTCTCTCTCTCTCTCTCTCTCTTTTTTTTTCCTCCCTCCCCCCACCTCCCCTCCCTTAACGAGGCTTACGTAATGAGACATAGACAGGAAACATATTGTCAACCCAACAATGCGTCTACACTCTGCCTCCTTATGATTCAGAGCTGCTGTCACTCTGGTACACGCGTGTAATATCACCGAGGTTCTATAGAGTGTGAGAGTGTGACAACACTTAGTGAGCCAGCCAGAGGCTTAGGGCCCGCGCAGGAATATCCCTGCAAAAAAAAATATAGTGTGTGACATATTTATTTTATTTATATACAAGAAGGTACATTGGGTTTGTGAGACTACATAGCATGGTGTTTACAATCTCGTTAAAGCCTCTAGTACGCGCAGCGTTTTATTTTGCTTCCTATACGGTGCATGGACTTTTTTAAACCATATTTGTACATAGTGTTTACGTAAGCAATATTTATGCATGGACTTTGAAAGGTGAATGGAGAAGTCTGGAGTCCTCTTTTTTTTTATATACTCTTGGCTTTTGAAGACTTTGAATATTAGTGAGAAATATAAGTTCTGGAGACGAGTATTGATGAATCTCAACAATTCAACAATGAATATAAACTGGGTTATTTTGGGGATTTCTACCCAAGTGTCTTACTTTTTCTAATCTGGAATATATATGTATATATATATATATATATATATATATATATATATATATATATATATATATATATATATATATATATATATATATATATTAGTATATTTTGGTAGCAGTCTTTCCTGTAGACATATATTATTAAATATGACCGAAAAAGTAAGATTAATAATTCTAACACGAATTTTCTCGATCTTTCGTACGTTTCTTTTCACTGTTGGTGGTGAAACAGTGAAAAGAAACGTACGAAAGATCGAGAAAATTCGTGTTAGAATTATTAATCTTTTTCGGTCATATTTAATAATATATATATATTGGGGGGGGGGTACTATGTAGATCCTTAGTTGAAGGCAAAAGGTTAGCCTAATTTACATGCGTCTGCGTACATAGAAATCCAAGTTCACATATGTACACACACACACACACACACACAGTCCATTGACTGTTGAGAGGCGGGCCCAAAGAGCCAGAACCCAACCTCCGCAAGCACAACTATGTGAGTACACACACACTAACCCATCCTTTCGAATAGTACAATGCATTTGAACAGTACATTGTAATACAATATGCATATTGAATAGTACAATGTAATACAATATACATATTGAATAGTACAATGTAATACAATATACATATTGAATAGTACAATGTAATACAATATACATATTGAATAGTACAATGTAATACAATATACATATTGAATAGTACAATGTAATACAATATACATATTGAATAGTACAATGTAATACAATATACATATTGAATAGTACAATGTAATACAATATACATATTGATAGTACAATGTAATACAATATACATATTGAATAGTACAATGTAATACAATATACATATTGAATAGTACAATGTAATACAATATACATATTGAATAGTACATTGACGCACAAATTCACCTTAAGGTCAAAAACTGGTGCACTTGAGGTCTGGTCAGGGACCGGGCCGCGGGAACGTTGAGCCCCGGAATCATTGCAAGGTTAGGTACTAACAGTCACATCGGCTCGCAAAATTGACGTGATGTCCCGTTTTCTATTCGTGGATCCTCGGGTTAGGTTAGGTTAGGTTCGGGCAATTTAGCACATCAGTTTAGTGACATTGGGTTGTACCTAATAGCCAGCATTGCACTACTTGGCCTAGTATGCAAACCCAACTTGCCTAATAAGCAGAGTGGTTGTCGTTGTTTTCAAATACTTTCCAAATTTTGTTATTACAATTATTATTAAATTATATTAAGAACATGAATTATTGCCTTACTTATATTAGGTTATTAGGTTAGGATAGGTTACGTTAGGTTAGGTTATTAGGTTAGGATAGGTTAGGTTAGGTTTCGTTCGGTTTGATCAAATTTCTATGTTAGTTTAACTCAAATTAAAGAAAATTTAAATGATATATAATGTAATGGAAAGCTGAAAGTCGATCGCTTAGTGACCGTCTGCTGTTAGGGACGCCGCTGTGACGTCACACCAACGGCTCATTCATGCCGCTTGGCGCTCTTGAAATTCAAATTCAAATAAGTTTATTGAGGTATAAATGCACACAAAGGCATGAGGTAGCTCCAGCTATTCTCATCCTGTTCAATAGAACGTTGTTATTGTTATAAACAGCCTCCGAAGCACCAAGAGGCGGTTTATAAATAAATAAAATAAATAAATATGTTTATTCAGGTAATATGTTTAATAACAATAACAACAGTTGATTGGGAAGTTTTCTTGTTTATAAACTGTTAAATAAATGTAACCAAAGCCGTCAAAGATTGAGGAAAGATGTACACGTTCGTAAGTACTTGCGTAAATGCTTTGTGAATCCGGGTCGGCGTTGAGGTGACCGCGTAGAGTCCTTCAGGGAGTCCTAGTTTTCCTAATAGGACGACGCATTTTGACATATATTTTACCCATGGCCAAAAACTATCGTACTAGAACATGGTAGCGGCTGGCGAAATTGACGTACTGTCCTTCAGGTGTCTGACGTCTGAATGAACTGAAGTCCCTTCGAGTGTTTTCAAATTTTCAAATTCAAATTCAAATGTTTATTCAGGTAAAGTACATACATACAAAGTGTGATACAAACACTGATGGATTTATAGATAGAGCTAGTACATACAATGCCTAAAGCCACTATTTAGGTCATGTATGAGGGTCATGTATGGGTCATGTATTCTATTTCATGTATGGGGACCATTTCTGGGGACTAGGCTATGGCCGAGTGTGTGATTGCGATGGTGTTCTCGTCTTCATTAAAATAAATTTAATGTATTTGTATTATATTTATCCATTATTTATATCACTTTTACTTGTGCAAAAAATCGAATCGTTGATCTTGCTTGCCTCTTTTGACAAGATCTGATCCTGTTGCCAAGATCTTCCTGTTGTCAAGTTGACACTTGTCAACGGAACTTCTGGTGATATGACATCCACCCGCTGCTTGACGTTGACTGCTTGAAATGACATGCCCCATCAAACATGACTCCCTCTCCACACACACACACACACACACACACACACACACACACACACACACACACACACACACACACAAACACACACACACACACACACACACACACACACTTTCTCTTAAACCTGTCTTTGTTGATACGAGATTTACCAAAGCAACATCTCATCATCTTCCTGCTGCCCTTCGCAGACTTCGAGTTGACGCCCTGCAACGGGGACGAGCCCTTGGTGAACCCGGCCACGGGTCGAGACTTCTACTGCGGCAAAGGTCCTGACACGGAGACCTGCACTGCCGGGGCCTACTGCCACTGGACCCTCTCCTTCGCCAAGTGCTGCCCGCTACACAAAGGTAAGGATGTGCCTCTTGTGGTTCTCTCCACATCGAAGTAGGGCGTCGTGGAGTCGAAGTCGCCAGGTGGGTGTAGAACACTTGTATATAAAAGTAAACCTGCTTTAATAATTGCGGATACTGATTGTAATACGAGGTTCTGAACAAATGTTTAAAACCGACGCCATATGAATGAGATGAATCGTTTCCTTTCCCCCGGCAGAGGAGAACAAGACAGAGGTGGGTCCTTCGTGCCAAGAGTCCGCCCACGGCTGCTGCCCGGACCGTCGAACTCCCGCGCTAGCGCCCAACTACGCCGGCTGTCCTTCCATCTGCCAGTGTCATAAGGTGAGAGAGTGACGGACGGGAAGAGGAAAATAAACAAAATTTATAAAATCTCTCGGATGGGTATAAGGTGCATAATAAGAATAATTTCATAATATTGCATAATAAGCAATTTAATTGAAATTCGGTCCCAGGATGACACAGGTCAGATCGATCTCAACTTTTAAGAAAATCACCAATATCCTATGCAGGCGATGAGTCACAATAACGTGGCTAAAGTATGATGACCAGACCACACACTAGAAGGTGAAGGGACGACGACGTTTCGGTCCGTCCTGGACCATTCTCAAGTCACCAATATCCTAAATAACTTGTATATGCAAAACTCTGCGTGTTAGTGGGTTTATTAAATATACATTGTAGCAATAATCCAGTGTACCATGCTGTGTATATTTTAAAATTATTATTACTTTTAATCATCTATATATACTTCTAAATCTATATAGGAAGACCTATGGTCACCAAAGTAACTATTTTGACAGTGGCATCCAGACAGTAAGAGACAGATGGTCCTAGCAAAGAACAGACAGATGGTTGTCTTACTAACGCCGTGAACCCAAGCATGATAAGCTGTTAGCTTATCCTGTTCCTGTTTGCCCAACTGTTAAGCAGCCGCCTCGCTCAATATATTAACGCCAGCCGTGAATTTAGAAAACGTAAAACTGTGCAATCGGCACCGGGAATTGTTTTTGCAAGACATCAATTATGCAACATTCACAACTCCAATGTAGTCGGAAATTAAAAGGATATTGCAAACGTAGAGCCGCTCCACTTGCTCAGCAGTGAACACGCTACTGCAACAACAATATTCCAGCGCTCATATTCTGCTCAACCTTATCTTGACCTCAGCATTATCTTGCATGTAATAATATTAAAAGTAATATTAATAATACTGGTAATTACCAATACTGGTGATGGTAATAATAAATATTATTGCCATTATTAAGGAAAGGAAATGCTGTTGCCCACGAAAAGAAAAGTAAGATACGAGAAGAATATCACAGGATACTCTTCCTGGTCTCAGTCTTCAGGAAGATCTTTGATAAAAGCAAGTGTTGAGAGACTGGGAAAAGTTCTCCCGAGTCTGTCCTCAGACAGAGACAAATTGGGCTCTCGTGCAGTTTTCTTTGTTCAAAATGTTTTTTTTTTAGAGTTAATCGTTTCTATATCACAGAAAACGAATATCCTCTTTGGGCTCAAGGGGAAGCTGTTGCAAAAAACTCAACCAAGTGCTGAAAGCTCCACTTGAAGAGAAGGGTCTTATCATCTTCATGACAAAATCTGGATCCACACATGAGAGAACAGCTAGTTTTCAAAAGTCCTTATTCACACCACTAAACGACGTGTTGGCACAACATGTAAGCAATACATATTTCAGGGTCATCAAAGATTTCTTTGTGCATTTCACCACCATTGCACTGAATAACCTAGACATAATACAAAATAAAGTCCTGGGGCCAGATTCACGAAAGCACTTACGCAAGCACTTACGAACGTGTACATCTTTCCTCAATCTTTGACGGCTTTGGTTACATTTATTAAACACTTTACAAGTATGAAAACTTGCCATTCAACTGTTGTTATTGTTATAAACAGCCTCCTGGTGCTTCGGAGCTCATTAACTGTTTAATAATTGTAAACAAAGCCGTCAAAGATTGAGAAAAGATGTACAGGTTCGTAAGTGCTTGCGTAAGCGCTTTCGTGAATCTGGCCCCTGAGTGATAAATGGTACACCAGGATGATGATGATGATGATAATAATAATAATATTTTATTTATAAAAAAAAATTGAGACCCAACATATAGTACTGCTCAGAAGTACACGAAATGTACCTCTGGTATATAAGTATACCATATACTTATATATTTAATGTACAAAAGTATATGGTATATATATATATAAAGTATATGGCTACACTTTCGCTGGATGGCTAAGTCAGTAAAGCTACGAGTGAGATTTCAGTAAGTTTTAGACTTTTGTCAGTAATAAACACTAAACGTTAGATATGCATGTACTAAGAATGCAGTCATTGGAGCAGGACGAGAATCAAACCAGTGTTCTGGATATTCCCGGACGCGTGCTTACCTTAATTGGTTTCTTTTCCAGCCCTCCTCCAATTATTTTTTTGAATTACGTACACGTTAATGCAGTTTTCTTGTGCATGTACACAATATTACCTTGCTTTTTAGAACAAAAGTTAAGATTCTATTGATCATTTTATCCAATTTCCTCAATATTTTCTCTGGGGGAGATTTATTCAGTTGTAATGACACATGATGACAAGTTATTTTATCCATGGTGACCGCGACCTCAGCTGGGTGCCCACGACGAGACGTGTGACCCCGTGACCAATCAGTGTCGGTGTAAGCCAGGAGTGGGCGGCACCAAGTGTGACCGCTGCGAGCCGGGCTTCTGGGGTCTGCCCAGGATCCAACACGGCAGCCTGGGATGTTTACGTGAGTAGCCCCTCAATGTCTAGTTTTCTTTAACTCACTGTTCTTCCATTTTCTTCTTATGCGTAATTTTCAACATATCCCACTAACTTAACTTTTCTGCCACTAATAAATAAATAAATAAATGTTTATTTAGGTAAGGTACATACATACAAGAAATTTTTACAAAGATTGGTGGACTTATAGATAGAGCTAGTACATACAATGCCTAAAGCCACTATTACGCAAAGCGTTTCGGGCATGAAAAACTTAAATGACTAAAGCTTAATACTAATTGAGCATAAAGAGCAAAAATGAAAACATAGCTGAAAAGGCAGCACAAATACAATTCTGTCGACAAACAGCGCTCTTTAAAAAAAACAGACATTGGTTGACAATAGAGGGGTAAGGTAGGTTACAGGGAATTTATTAGGTATAGCTTCGTTTTTATCTTAAACTGGTTGAGAGAGGTACAGTCTTTAACATGGTTAGGAAGGTCATTCCACATTCTGGGTCCTTTGATTTGTAGAGCATTTCTAGTTTGATTAAGTCGTACTCTAGGAATATCAAAACTGTATTTATTTCTGGTGTGGTGCTCATGGGTTCTGTTACAACCTTCTATGAAGCTTTTGAGGTCAGGATTGGCATTACAGTTTAGCGTTTTATATATGTATAATACACATGAGAGAATGTGCAGTGACTTAATGTCTAACATATTCAGAGATTTGAGTAGGGGTACCGAGTGATGTATACCTGGAGCCTGGAGGTGTGGTATATACCTGGAGCCTGGAGGTGTGACATATACCTGGAGCCTGGAGGTGTGACATATACCTGGAGCCTGGAGGTGTGGCATATACCTGGAGCCTGGAGGTGTGGCATATACCTGGAGCCTGGAGGTGTGGCATATACCTGGAGCCTGGAGGTGTGATTTATACCTGGAGCCTGGAGGTGTGGCATATACCTGGAGCCTGGAGGTGTGACATATACCTGGAGCCTGGAGGTGTGGCGTATACCTGGAGCCAAGTATACACCATTCACCGTTATTCCTCCCAGCAAATTACCCTCAATCTAGACCAGTTATCACTTTGGCGATCCAATAAGTGTAACCGCGGGCAATAACATGTAGGTAATGAGACAGGTGTGTAGTTAATGAGGCAGGTGTGATGGGGTCCACCTGTTACATGCACCAGCTGTGTGGTGGTGTGTGTGGGGGGGGGGCACCAACTGGTGGGTCTGTCAGGAGAGGATCTTGTTAGAGCTTGCATGCATTTACCTGTTTTGGTATTCATGTGTTTTTTGTATTTGTGTTTTTAGTATTTATGTGACACCAGTACTTACCTAGCGAGAGTTTGCAGTACCGAGCCTCAGCTCTTGGAACCCACCTTTCCAACTCTCGGTTGTGTAGTGATTTGACTTCCACTTCTTTTACCAGATTGGCATACAAGAGGGGATACCCAGCTGCCCTCGGGTCTCTTTCTCCCCCTTCTATCATCTCTCTTTACATCTCCTCCCCTCTCCCCTCCTGTCTCCCCCTCTCCCCTCCGGTCTCCCCCTCTCCCCTCCTGTCTCCCCCTCTCCCCTCCTGTCTCCCCCTCTCCTCTCCCCTCCTGTCTCCCCCTCTCCTCTCCCCTCCTGTCTCCCCCTCTCCTCTCCCCTCCTGTCTCCCCCTCTCCTCTCCCTCCTGTCTCCCCTCTCCTCTCCCCTCCTGTCTCCCCCTCTCCTCTCCCCTCCTGTCTCCCCCTCTCCTCTCCCCTCCTGTCTCCCCCTCTCCTCTCCTTCTCTCTCTTCCAATCTATCTTCCTTTCTATCTAGAAGTCTTTCACGTCTCTAGTCTTTCACCTTCATCTATCCCTCCGCTCGTCTCCTCTCTATTTCCCAACATCCCTCTCTTCTTTGCCCTCTTTCCCTCTCTGAAAATTTAATTTATATATTACAAAGCACCGAAAACTGCTGAACTCAATGGAAGGAAAACACATCATTGATTTCAGACTTCATGGAAAATAGCTGGGGAGATTTGCTATCAATGCTGATATTTCTTTAAAGTGTGGCACTGGAGTTGACCCTGACTGGCCTGTGGCACTCACAACCTCCCCCCCACCCCTCATGATTCATCAGGCCTCCAACGATTGATGAAGATTAAGCCACCCAAGAGATAGCACGGGCATGAATAGCACATAAAGGTTTCCAACATCAAACATTCTATTTTATAGGTACCTCCCCCATCCCATCCCAAATCCTCATCCTGATCCTTCAAAGTGCTATACAGTATAGTCATAATGGCTTGGTGCTTTATCCCTATAGTTCCCTTCCCTTCTATTTTATAGGTGTAAATATGTTGTTAAAGCTATATGCTAAGGTAGCTCCTACTCATTTTTTTCCTACTTCAGTCCACTTGCTTACTGCCTAAGACGTTTTTCTCCCATCCCTGTGGCTCACCTGCAGGTCTAACTGCCATGCATGTCCTCTCTTACACTACTGCTCAATCTAAACTTTCTCTCGATTCCATTGATACCCCTGAGTATTTATATGTCTGGATCATGTCCCCTCTTATTTCTTTTGTTTTTCTTAACGTCCATCTGTAATTTACTTCATATGAGGCTCGTGTTGCTGTTACTCATTTCCACGTGAATTTTGTTTACCCAAATAATCGGTAAGGATTCTAAAACACTTGTGTTGACTTTCAAAGGCCTCCATTTCTCATGAGATAAATTTCTTTAATGTCTTATACTTGACTCCAGTAGAAATTATCCACAGTTCATACATATCTTCGAACATTTGCAATGATCTAGGAGAGTCCCCATGTAGCCTATTGTCACTTTTTACCCCATCTTTGGCATCTTCTGATCCCACTGTTAAACTCTAGTTATTGTCTTGTGAGCTCTGGTGATCAGATTGTACTGCCCATATCCACAGCCTGCGGATGTTCACTCTTCGGCTCTGTGAGGGATGACTGTGAGCAGATGACTGGGCAGTGTGTGTGCAAGCCTGGCATCAGGGGCAAAAAGTGCAATGGTTGCCCCGACGGCATGGTGCTGAGCCCCAAGGGCTGTCGGCTTCAGAGCGAGACCAGCCCTCCGCCCCGTTCCTGTGCCGAACTCGAGTGTTACTTCGGAGCCCGCTGTCAGGAGCACAACAGACACGCGGAGTGTAAGGTGAGGCTGGCAACATTGCACTCTCAGCAACTGGAACTATCTTTTTGTTTTTCCTTTGCTTTGTGAAGTTTTCTTAATCATCAAATCTGCATTCACTGTTGGATTATACTTTCAAGTTAATAATGATAAGGACAAGCATGTTTTTAAACCTTATTAAATGCTTGTATAACTAATTTATAAGAATGTAATTTATTATAAAAAGTCAAGAAGTACAGTTATCAATAATTAGCATAACCAATTTATAAGAACATATAACTAAAACTAATTTAGAATTTATATATTTTTAGAATGTATTTAGAAACTTTAGAATGTATTTATAAAACTAATTATTTAGAATGTATAACTAAAGTTATTAGTCTGTATTACTAATTTATAAGAATGCAATTTATATATAAAAAGTCAAGAAGTACAATTATCAATAATTTAGCAATAAAAATCAAATAATTATTAATAGCACACAATGTCACTTTGACGTGCTAATATTGAAAACGACCCCTCCATGTGATACCTGTACTTCATCCATCAGTCCCTAGCTAAGGCTTTCACTGTCTATGTAAGATGGGTATGGGGTGCATAATAAATGAACTAAACTAAACTATGTATGCCAGTGTGAAGCCCAGTGCCCGGAAGACTCGTCAGCAGCTCCCCCTGTCTGCGGCTCCGATGGGGAGACCTATGCCAGCGAGTGTCACCT